GTTTTTATCATCCTGCAGGCTCTGATGGAAAATTAATTTGAAGCTGAGGTTTTTATTTTATTTTATAAAAACCGTTAAGATTACTCTAAAGCAAAATGAGGGAAATTACAGATATTCTGTTCACGTGAGCAGCTGTCAGTCAGCACCTGTCAACGTCCAGACACACGACGGAGCGTGTCTGAACCAATCACTTTTGTTGGCATTGATCAGCTGACTGATTTAAATACATCTTAACATTCATGAGGTACTTTACATTGACTGTTTATGGTTGAGTGTGGGCGTGTAGAGGGTAGAACCTGAGGTGGGACCTCGTGCGCAAACTCTTGACGTGCGGTTGTGATTTATAAAGGAAAGATGCGCAGAAATGTGCGTACGCACGGTTTTATAAATCTGAATTTTTTTGGCGTACGCCATTTCCGCCTTTTGGCCGTACGTTCACTTTTAGTATAGTATCCACGCAATCCTTTATAAATGAGACCCCTGAACTGTGTTTTTGACTAAAACTTCTTTTAAGTTATCTCCAGATAAATTCAAAATATCTTGAATATTTTCTCCAACTAGACAGCTTTTCAATTCAAGATATCTTGAATAAATATTTTGACTACTCAGAATTATACTTTTATCTTTAAGTATTCTGACTGGTTAAAACATCAAATTTATGTAGCATTTTAGTGTAAAGTTTCTCAAGTGTTTTAGCCTCWCTAAGCTACTTTATTTGTTATTCAKTGTCAGGTCAGCCCAACTAATTGTTTTTAAACAATTTTTAGCTCTACAGCTCGTACTCGACATGAATTAAGATACATGGATAATTTATGGTCCGTCATTACAGCCACCAAAAAATCTGCAACTATTTGGACAGCTAAGAGGCAGCAGAGGGAGGTTACACACAATTTTCTTATTTTTGAACTGTAATTTTGACTCAAAATTGCATTGGCGATATCTTGAATTGCAATTAAGGGTGTTTGACTCTTTTAAAGGRCATTTCAGATATCTCGAATTGTTCTTCTGACTCATCAAAATACAGTATATTTCCTAGTCAAAACTCATTTTTAGATATCTAGAATGTATTTAAAGATAGTCAAGACGAAGCTGATTTTATGTTAAAATGGCCTGCCATATTTGKTTGAATTTAAACATCTACACTACGACGATGAGCTTTAAAAACGACTTGTGAAGACAGGAGCAGCTTGAGATCAGTGAATACACTGGAAATGTAAAAAATGTTTTTTATGTTAAATAATGTTCAGTGCTGCAGGTTAGGGATTGTAATTTTAATGAAAAAAATGCTGATTGTACAGGAAACAACGTTTTTATTAAATACACAAACTTTCTACAAATGATTTTTTTTTAAAAAATTTTACACTCTTTAAAGACAAACCTTGTTTTGATTCATTTAAATGTTTCGGAGCATGAAGTCTAGTTGAAAACTGCTTCCATAATCACAACAAAGGATTAGTTATTTAAAAAAAACTTAGATTCTCAGCCTTTACAGAATCACTGCATCGTTGAGGCTGAGCAGCACCGACACAGCATCTTCCTCCAAATCTGTCAACTCCTCCAGTCTCCTGTTTAAGTTTACCGGTTTCAGTGGAGCGGTATTGAACCAGACTGGTAAAGTTCCAGGTTTTTGGGGCAGACCCTGAAGCCCTGCTGTTTTATCCTGGGTTCTGACGTAGTCTGCTGCTCCGACCCGTCGTCGCCTCTCGGGATACTGCGCATCAACACGGACGGATGAAGGAGCTGAACGTCCCGGGCTGGACTCTGCAGGACCCGAGAGGTGCAGTTGTGCARCGGGGACGGCGGTCTCTGCTGCCTCCTGGTTGTGAAGCTTCAGCAGGTTGGTGAYGGCCTGATCTTCCTCCGCTGTGAGCTGGATGACGGCCCGTTGTGGCTGTGCCTGAGGCTGAYGGCTCTGGATCCTCCAGGAGGGGCTGCCCAGGTCTCTGGTGGGGTGTGGTCCACATCTGAATGGGTCCGGGTGGTTTGGAGGGGCCACGCAGGCAGACATGATGGGCTGCGGAGTGTTGAGCTGGGGGCAACTGAAAACCTGGTTGAAAACAAGGAAAAATGTATGGGTTTTCAAACATATGGCAACTGTATGTATACAATACATTAGAACCACTTCAAATTAAATCTGATAAATTAAAAGTTTTGGATAAGTTTAGAATATTTTTATCCACATGTGACTAACAGATACTAAACACTCGTTCAGTTTAGAGTTTGACTTGTTTTAAATAAAACTGCCCATGTTTCTGCAGCTGATGGTGACGAATTTTTTTATCTTTTTTATTTTCATAATTATTTTTGGTTTGATGATTTTATGGAAGTAAAACTTGATCCAACTTTTCAGTAGTACAGACATCAGTAAATAAACATCTAAAATCCACATTTTGTACTTTTACACAATAGTAACTCCTAAATGTCTCAAACTCCTCCATATGCTGCAGTAGAGGTTGAAGTCCACTCGCCTTCAAAATAAAAGCCCAACAGCCAATTTTAAAATGAGCTGAGATTTTGGGTTTGTGCACAGATGGATTTACATTTGAGTTCAGATTTTTCACTGATCTCCCATCTCCTCCATGGACCCAGMCCTTGTGCAAACAGAACTTTGTCAGGAAAACTTTGCACACTGAGAACACTGATTTTTGTTTGTTTTGAGCCATGATGTRTTAAACTGTGTACAAAACCACAAACCAATAAAATGACTTTTTACTTGATACTAAACGTGGAAATGTAATTTTATCTAATGCTGATTAGTTTTCCCTTCATTTTTTTTGCATAACCAGGAGGTAAAAAAAAAAAAAATGTAAACAGACTTCTGTTTTGGATGAATATGGTTTCATGACTTACCCTCATCCCAGAGACCATGGTGGGGCCAGAGTAGACTAGCTCCTCTGGGTTAATGTGGTACACTGAAGAGAGAAAAGATGTCACATGATGTTGCACATGTAATCAGAGATTTATGTGGCAGTAACTCACCTGTTTGCTTTCCTCCGTGAAAGTGAATTTGGAAACTTGTGGGGTTTGTGATGTAGGGCAGGAGGGAGGGGTGCTGCATGGTCCTGCAGGAGACTGGAGGCAGGACGGTCGGCCTCGGTGTCTGTTTCAGAACTAACTGGTTAAAAATCAAAGAAGCCGCTTTTGGTACTAAAGTTWAAAGAAAACGACTTACCACTGAAGGGTTCTCACTGTAGCTCATGTTTAGTTTTGTAGCTTAAAACGTTTTAAGTTGTGTCCAGTCGGTTTAATGAGGAATAGTAAACACTGGAAAAACTTAGAAACAGCGACATCTAGCGGCAGAGGCAAAAACAAGTTCATTAAAAAAAAGCTGCTCCTCAACTTCCAGTGGATGTTTTGGTACCAAAAAGGTCATTAAAGTTCATTTAAAACAATCAGCTGCGTGTAGTCAGAAAGTATTTACTACCAGGTTAAAAATATAAATTGAGATTAGTTCAGATCAAGTTAAAATTAGCTTTTAGAACTTTACAACTCAAAACCCTTCAACATGCCACTTAAAAAGCAAATCCCTGATGCAAATTAGCAGAGTTTAATTTTGACATGGTACAGGGTCTACTCCAAATAAAATTTCCCCTCACTTGGAGGGAAGACATCTTAGAATGYAAACTGATGTCCAATGGCACCAAATCTTGCAGTACCTTTTGCCAGCAGTCATGATACTTCTCCTTGTAGCTTAAAGGGAGTATGCAATAAAGTCACATTTATTAAAGTAGCCCTAGGAATATTGTAGCCATTTGTCTCATTTGGCAGGTGTCAAGTACTCACAACATTCCTCAAGTATTGATACTAGGTTTAATGCTTTTGCATCAACTCAGCTTTTTGAAGTATCAAATTAACACCTTAAAAAGCGACTAATGATAAAGGCTTAGGCYGTGCCACTATTAGTATAGATATTGAAATTGGGAGTTAAGGGTTGAAAAATTACTCCAAATCAGTATTTGTGCTTGTTACGACACCCCTGTCACTTGGTAACCATTTGCAAGGCATTATGGCTGAAGATAAGCCAAGCAGATGACTGACCAATCATGTCTTCAAATATACTTACTGCCTCTAACCTGCACCATAAGCTCTTGTTTCCTTATTGAGACTTATAGGCATTTAATGTTTTGTTCCTGCCATAAGTGGGAAGTATATGGACATGGTACCGACTTAGTGTTCAGTACTGCTTGGTGGCAAAAAATAAAATCCATAAACGCAGTAAGTTTAAAACAGCTTTATTTGTTTTACAAGTTAAACATTTAAGATTGAAATGTGTTGCTTTCACTTTCTTTTGTGCCTGCAAAAAGACACAAGAGTTAATACCTGAAAAACAGAATGTTGGGATCAAGTATTTATCCATTTACTTTTGTAGGAACCCAGCAGGCCATGAGTCCTATAAACCTTGATGTAGCGAGCAGTCGGGTAGAAGGAGGGCAGGTAGAGATTAGGGCTTCTGGTTCTTTGAGTTGCTGTGGTTTTAGCAGGGGAAACAGTAGAACTAGGCATGACTAGAAGGGGAGAGCAGATTAGTCTCAAGCTTGACAATTGTGTCCACATACCAAGCAATACATGTACCTTTTGTATCGTCTGTTGGATAGATGATTTTGCCAACACCGTCTTTCTCAGCGTCAAATATGTATGTTGAGAAGAGGCTGTAGAGACCGGTCAGAGGGTATGTACACTGCAGAGTCAGCCTAGGAGACAGGAAACATTMGTGGACTCACCACCAGCTGAGAATGCTAAGGCTTTTCTGTTACTTACCCTTCAGTAGAATTAGCCATGCCGAAGTAGTAGTAAATCTTGTTTTGATAAACTACATTCMCTGTTGACAGCTTAATAAAAAAATAAAACAGAAGGGACAGTCATTGGAGGGTAGCCAATGGGTTGTCATCATTTGACCACAATTGTTACCTTAACTACAGATCCACAGCTGTTCAGTGGAAATGAGTAGAGCACCCTGGTGCCATCCGTTTCCTTGGCCAGACAAAGGTCATTTGAGAGATGAGTTCCTGTTGGGATTTTACCACTTGGGAGGACATGGGACAGGTCGGCCACCACAGTCACCCAACCATTGGTAGAACACACTGCAGAAAGACATCATTAGTATGTGCAAGATACCAAACTGTTGCTTTGATGTCATATGCTCCTACCAATTAGWTTTGTTGCATTAAACAGACATGTCTTTGTTGTTGAAGTTAAGATTTTCGATGTACCATGAGACTTCACAAGGACCTCAAATGTACCAAGGAATCCTTTAAGAGATATTTCCTAAAAAGGTGTTGAGAAATATAAAAAGTTAAAGACCAACCCCTCTAGCCCACCACCACATTTAAGACAAGTTTTACCTTGTATTCATATCCTTGAGTGAAAAGTGGCACATACAGCTGCAGACTACGGCTGTCATTGCTCATGATGTAGCCACGCTTGGCTGCCAGCTCCAGTGTCAGTTGGTCTGGGCCAATGCCGATATCCCACAGGTAGTCATAAGACCGATAGGCCAACTCAAAGCTGATTCCAGATGTATTACAAGTAGTGCTAAAGGACGGAGGAGCTAACACACAAACACATTAATGACAATTTATGGCCAGAACTGTTTCAGGCTGAAGACTTACAGACATCCATTAGGACCATGACTGAAATGGTGTGGTAGTATGGCTCATTCTCTGGTACAGCAACAAGAGTAAAGTTGACATCCAGCTTGTGAAACATGGCTGAATTCTCTTTAGAAAACTAACACAGAAGGCATTTTGTTAGAGATAAAGTTCTCTATAAAAGAGTGCCACATAGGACATTAAATACCTGCTGTACGACAACTGGATCCCACAGAGGCACTTTYAAAGTGTAGCTGTGGGTGTTGTTCAAGTGAATGATTTCTGCAAGAACATATGCATGGTTGTCAAATGGCACTTTGAATGCTCTGCCGTTCAGCTGGATGGAAGTCAGCTGAACGTCTTCAGGGACTTCAAGGTAAATGGTGAACACCCCTTCTGCTTTGACAGTTCGGTCTTCAGTGATGAGTGGGCAAGGCAGTAGAGGAGAAACAAGGGTCCTGTGAAATCGGAGAGYGGTCTCCTCCTGATGTTCATCAACAAGACTTTGCTTCAAGTGCAGGTTGATTATGTAGAACTCGAAGATGCCGCCGCTCACGAAGCTCTGAACACAAAAAAAAAGTTTAATACAAGATACATCATTTTAGTCCACATGCGTAGAGCCTTACCTTTCTGAATCCTCCTTCAGCATTATAAGGCAGGTTAATTTCAATTGTGGAGTTTTGCCTTTGCATAATAAATCCATTTYGCTCTGCAACTGCTGGCTCCATCAGATGACCGTTGAGGCCTACACTGACTTTGGTTCTGTTGTGACTGGAGTACAATGCTTCTGGAGTCTTCCAGACCATGTAGCCATCGTCATACGATCCTTCATCTGTTCAAAAGCAAGGATAGTTTTTTTTAATGCAAATGCATTTAGTAAAATAGGACAGGACAGTGTTACTTACGCATGGAGCAGGCAGCAACCAGGTCAACCATGAGGACGACCCAACTTTTCCTGGAGAACACTGTTGCGTGGACCACCTCTACTGGAACGCCATTCATCTGTACAGAAGACCAAGTTGCCAAGTTCAAGGAACATTTTATAGTGGAGTCTGGCAACAGCCTTACCCTAGTCCTGTARGATTCGTGTTGTCCGTATGGCGTTCGAAACACAAGCCGACCATACTTCAGGTCAAACATGTAGGCCAGCTCACGAGCCTTGGAGAGGCTCATGGGTGGCAGCTGCTCGTCCATGTTTTGAAACGCCACCTGCCAGTCTGAGGTGCTGGATGCCTGAGAAGATGCCAAGTTTTAGTGGTGAACTTCCAAAAGTTAAGTCTTAATACCATTGACACTTACAGGTTTTAGAGAGTTCCAGTCATTTGTCCCAGAAGAGCAGGGAAATTCACTCCTCACAGACACCTGCAGAGAAAGTCAGTTAGACCAAATCTACACAAGGGGTTTACATTTACACTCATGCTCACCTCCATGTAGTTGACCTCACAAACAACCTCTCTAGGAGACCAAAGCAGAGGGCGAGAACAAGACTTGTTCAGTGYATAGACGGACTCCACCCCATTGTAGTTTGTAATCAAGTTAAGTTTGAAAAATAAGTTGTCACCCTATCAGATAAAAATGGACAATGTCAAAAAAAATTTTTTTAAATAAACTGGTTAGGTTTGTTCTGTCCATACTTTATTCTCAGTGTGACAGCTGAAGTAAGAAGCTCGGAGCTCAACAAAGCCCAGGAAAGAGAGAATGGTGATACTGTAACCACACTTTGCTGCATATTCATCAGTGAGGAGATAAGCACCGGTTCCATCTGCAAGAAAAAACTCAAAGCAGTTAATTTCAGGATCTACTTGGTCTGGTGACWGCAGAGAGCAGGACTCACCAACAGCCTCAAAGCGAGGATTACTTCCAGTGACTGAGAGGTCCAAAGCTATCATGAGCGAACGATCATGACACTCCATTTGAAGAACTCCTGTGTGAAGATGAAARTCAGAAGCTGGTCTTGTTGTTTGGCAGTTCCAGTCAAACAAATGAACAGTGACCAACCTTCCATAAGAAAGTTACACCCTGCAGTCGGCCATACAGACAGGAGCAAAACCACACTGCAACACAAGAAGAGTTAAATACTCCAGTAAACAGAATGTCCTAACTTTGAAGAGAACAAGACAACTTACTCTAAAACTAATTTCAAAATCATGCTAGCTTCTGTGTTGACAGTGTCTAAAGCTAGCTTGGCTGCTAGCAAACTACACCAACTGACCAACACAAGCACAAGTGAACCACTAGAAGCTCACCAAACCTGCAGTCTGATGCAATACTCCCACACACCAACTTTAATTAGACTGTTGCTCCAACTCTCAACCAACCAGAAGCTACATCCAAACATGCAAACAATTAGTGATCAAAGGGACTTGTGCACGAACAGGTGCTAATCATGAGTTCTTTGTSTTCCTAGGGAGAAATTTAGCGTGATTTTTTAAAGGGCACTGCTGCACAATTAAAAAGTACATTCAGTACAATAGTATAATAACAATAAAAACATGACATTGATAAATAATTAAAATCCAGAGTGCAAAAAAATGCTAACTTTTAAATAAAAAMTTCTCCAGTTCTTGTCCTCAGGATTTATTTTAACCAGGTCAGCTGAAGCTGTAGTTCTGGTGGATGAAAACTTCCATTCTAAAAACCAGTTTAGGAATAACGTTATCAAAAAATGTGATCTGGAGAGAAAATGTTAATCAGTGGTGGGCAYARTTCCTCWGAAGCACTAAAACACTAATAGGGGAACTAATTYCCYGATTARTGCTTTAGKGCTTTTGCTATTTTTTAAATTTATTAGTGGATTAGCACTTGCTAAATTTATGGGCTAAATTTAGAAGCACTAACTGAGGTCTTTAAATGTTACTAATCACTAATTATTGTTCACAGTTGAGGGTGAAAGCTGTCACATATTTTGTTAATATGAGTGTCACTTATCTACAAGGTCACATGTGTCAAACKTAAGGCCTGTGGGCCAAATGTGGCCTGCAGGTGACTCCTATTTGGCCCACCAAGGGCACTRAGTGACAACATTCTGCACACAGTAAACATTGTCTCATGTTGACTCTGAAGRATGTTCCACATGTCAACTGGGTTATATTAGTGCTTYAGAATTAGCTTTTGCTAAATTTTCCAATTAGTGCTTCAGAATTAGGGGACCTAAATAGTTGAGTTAGTGYTTTAGGGTTAGTGCAACTAATACAGTATTTAGATTAGTGCTGCTCACCACTGATGTTAATATTTACAATCCCATAACAGATATGGAAAAAAAATCACTCAGTAGATGGTTAGCAAGAGACCTCACCATTTTTGGACGAGGTCTTTTATCCAAATCTGAAGGAATTTCTAAGTTAACATAACCGTGCCATTCCTTAAAATTTTAGCAGTATTAAAAAAGCCAATTTAATTATTTTTGAATTTTTATGGAGAAACAAATCCCTCTATATTAAAATATCTCAACTGGAGGCATTATAGATGGTGAGTCGTTGATAGGTACTTTTAGAATAAATTGGATCAATTCTTATTTGCTGTAGCAAAATTCTATGTGATTCCACTTTCCAAAGTCTCTGTTTGATAAGGTTGGAGGCCTTGATTTTCTGTTAAAATGCGATTTTGAGATAAGATTTCTTACAAGCTATCAAACTTTCATAAACAGAGCCCTCATTTCTGGAAAAAGATGTTATTTATTTACCGTTATTTTACCAGGCAAATCACAKTGAGATCTCAGATCTATTTTTCAAGGGAGGCCTGGGCCTGAAGGCAACCTATTGCACATGTTTTTGTGGGGTGGCRGAAACYGGAGTACCCAGAGGAAACCCATACAAGCACGAGGAGAAGATGCAAATATGCACAGAAAGACCCCAGGTCTGAACCGGGGATCGAACCCAGGACCTTCTTGTTGTGAGACCTTGGTGCTAACCACTGAGCCATCATGCTGCCAAAAAGGATGAAAAGGATATTTACTCATGACTTTTCTCCACATGGTTCAACTCTCTGGAATACTCGTGCAATTTTGGTTAATAGGAAAACACTTTTTAAAAATGAGTGGTTTCTAAAAGATATAGTTTTTGTAACAGATTTATTAGACCAAAATGGTAATTGATAAAATAATAATAATTGATAATTGATTACATATTATATAATTGGTAATTGAGTCAAAATGCTAAAAAAAAATTACGTTGAAAAAAAAAGTTTTCCTAATTTAAATCTTAATGTGTTTAAATTGCATGATGGAAAATGTAACAACAAATTGATGTTTAAGTCCAGAGTGTTTCAGGATTATAACAGAGGATTAAAGGTGCCAGGATCATTTTCACTGTCTATTACGGAACAAGCAGCTTCTAAATCTATCAAATGGCCAGTTTCTCCCAAAGTCAAAGAAACCCATTTTRAARWAATGAATATTTACCCAGCTGCARAATTCTTAAAAAAGATATTTAAATTTGAAGTAGACGCCTTCTGTGGTGAAAGTGAGGAAACTCTGAACATCTGTTTTTCTTTGCCCTGAGCTCCAATGCTTCTGGTCTAACATAAATAATTGGTTATCACTCAAAAGCCATGTCTTCCATCTTTTAATATTTCACATTGACTTTTACATGGAGAACTTGAATTCATCCTATTCAGACATGGTTAACCTGGTAATTCTTTTGAGTAAATGTCATATTCATTGTAGTAGCAGTTCCCAACCCAAACCATGCACAGCCTGGGACAGGGCACACTTTTCTGAGTCGTTGAACCATTTGCCAAATTCTCCTCGATRCCAACCAAAAGTTCCCGTCTATGTCCTCCCTGAATTCCTCCCATGCCCGAGTTTTTGCATTCTCAACCAGCAAAGCTGCAGTCCATCTGGCCACACTGTACTGGAGTTAAGGTCAGGCCTAAAACATTTGACCCGACCCAAGCCCGAAGACATGTTCCAACCTGATTCAACCTGACTAGTTAACTCTGAATAGAGACCCGAGGCTGAAGTCCTGATATTTTTAAAGAAACTTTATGTGGGTTTAATGTGATCTCCTTTTT